GAGAAAATAACATTTTTTAAAGTAAAAAGATGTTTTTTAATTTTTAAAGAGAAAAGTATGAGATAAAATGGTAAGAAATAAATCCAAATATATCAGTAAATGGACCCAACTCACCAATTGAAAAATAGACATTATCAGGTAAGAAAAAAAAACATACAAAAATATACCTGAATTGAATTTACAGGAACTATAATATGAGGACATAGAAATACTTAAGTAAAAGAAGAAGTTCTGCAATAAGAGAAAAAAAAGTTAAAGGATTGGAAGGAAATGAATAAAACCATCATTATTTTCAGGTGATATGATTTTCTACATAGAAAAATCCAAGGGTCTGCTGACAAATCATTAGACTTAAAGAATTTGTCAAAATGTCTGATACAAGATTTATATACAAAATTTAAATGCATTTTATATGCAATTAGGAAAATAATATTTTAAGAAATAATTTTTATGATAGCAAGAAAAAATTATAACATCCTTTGGATATTAGGCAAGGCCTTATAGAGAAAATTATAAAACTTTAATGAAAACAGACATACAGGGACTTCCCTGGCTGTCCAGTGGTTAAAACTTTGCCCTCCAATGTAGGGGGTGCAGGTTTGATCCCTGGTCGGGGAGCTGGGATCCCACATGCCTCGTGGCCAAAAAACCAAAATATAAAAATAGAAGTAACAGGGCTTCCCTGGTGGTGCAGTGATTGAGAGTCTGCCTGCTGATGCAGGGGACATGGGTTCGTGCCCTGGTCTGGGAAGATCCCACATGCTGCGGAGCGGCTAGGCCTGTGAGCCATGGCCGCTGAGCCTGGGCGTCCGGAGCCTGTGCTCCACAACGGGAGAGGCCACAACAGTGAGAGGCCCGCGTACCCCCCCACAAAGAAAAAAGAAATAGAAGTAACAAATTCAATAAAGACTTTAAAAATGGTCCACATCAAAAGAAAAAATATCTTAAAAAAATATATATTGAGAAATATAATCACACTGTTGGCTAGAAAGACAATATTATAAAGAAGACACGTCTTTCAAAATTGATCTATCCAAATTAATTTCGATTGAAATCTTAGATGGATTTCTTTAACTTGCCAAGCTTGACAGAATTTATATGGAAAATCCAAGACTCAAAAATAGCCAAGATACTACTCAAGAAGAACTGGGGAAGATTTGCTGTATCACATATCAAGACTTCTTATAAATATATATTAAGTAAAACATATTGACAATGGCCCAGCGATAAAAAATTGACCAGTGGAAGCAGAATAGAGTCAAAAAACTGATCCATACATATACAGTAACTTGATTTATGCCAGATGGGTATTATAGATGACCGAAAAAGGATGAACTTCAATAAATGGCACTAGCCTTTGAACTGCTTACCTTCAATTTTCTTGTTAAATGAGATCATAAATGTCTACATTGTTTAAACTACTGTTAGATTTTTCTGTTACTTGCAGCCCAAAGAATTCCTGATACAGACCCTAGTATCCCTTGGCCAAGGACATGTGAATAAAATGGTCCAATCAAAGTGGATCCTGGGACTTGTTAAGGAACAACAGGGAAGAGACAATGCCTCTTCTATAAATTTGAATCTGAGTGAATATGTGCCTGAAGTTTCTGGGGACTACCACATGGAACCTGAGAGTGAAGACAACGCAGGGGAAGACAGAGTGAAGGATGCAGAGTAACTAAATCTTGGTGACAGAGTTTAAACCTTTAAAATGAGACCCTCCTTCTCCTGTCTACACATGGACTTTTCAATTATGTAAGCCAATAAATTCCTTTTTATTTATTTAAGTCGTTTTAAGTTGAATTGCCTGTTTTATGCAACTGAAATGATCTGACTAGAAATGGTAAACTCAGCTCACTTTCTCAAAGAGAAACCACGAACATTCTACTGAACATTCTACTGAATTTTTTAAATGTTGCTGGCTGAAGATGGATGTGACTAATAAAGCCAGTGTACAACCAATATATAGATGAGACCACAAGAGCAGTAACTGGTTTGATTGAAACATTTGGGTCATGCTAATATTTATATCTTTTGAAAATTCTGAGAAGAACACTCTTTCACCATGTTTTATTCAATAAAACCGAAGCTGAGGGGTTGAGAAGGAGCAATGATATAAGGTCAGGAGGGCTTAATTTTGTTAGCCAAGTAATAAGCATGCATGGGATTGTAGAAAATAAATTCTTGCCTCATTCTCTAGGTTTATGGAAAAAATTTTTTACAAATATGCAGTGTAAACTGCTTTTAAAATTCTGGTATTTTGTTAACTAGGGAGTCTTGCTAGGATGGCTAACAAAGCAGAGACTGAAGAAAGTCTGAAAGTCATGAGACACAAGAGACCACATTTGCATTTTTAGAAGATTTTTCAAAATAAAAGAGATCTAAAAGTCAGATAAATACGAAATGGATTCATGACAAAGAAAGTGATCTACAGAAGTAGTTCTCAAAATTAATTTTAGCATTGGAACTTTTTTCCAAATGAAATTTTAGGGAGAATTTCAATATGTAAATTAGACAAATGTATTTGTTAGGATAGATTTGTTTTTTAATTTAACTATATAACATTTGCTTATTAAGGAGTAGAGGAAGGATGCTACTTTGTTGAACACACTAAAATTTTAAAATCAAGTGTTATGGCATGCGGGATCTTCTTTTAGTTGCAGCATGTGGGATCTTTCTGCAACTAAAAGGTCCCAACTAAGACCCAGTGCAGCTAAATAAATAAATTTAAAGAAGAGTTATGGATGACAGTTCCTGTCTTTTATTATCATTAGCATTTAATTAATTTATTTATTTTATATATGCAGGAGTAAGATAAATATTTGCAAATAGTAATTTCAGGGTACTTTTAAATTAAGCTGACTCAGAAGCCTGAGAAAGGAGTAGTAGATTTTCAAAAATTTTATTTCAAGGTTAAACCATTAGCATATCTATTAGTAGAACTAATTATCTTAAATATAAAGGTTAGAGAAGAAGGAACTAAAAGTTACAAGGATTGCTTAAAATACTTATAAGAGGATACAGTATTATGACACCACACTTACTTGTTAGTCTGTTGTTTTTGTTGCATAATCGGCTACAATATAATTTTGCCTCAACAGAGAATTTGCCAAATTGATGCATCTGAACATTTAACTGGTTTTTAACTGAGCATGATGCATGTGTGTTGTGGATTTGTGCTCATTTGTACAATTTTATGTCGGTAAATGTGCTGACATGTCTTAATTTTTAAAAATTAAAAAAAGAAAAAATGCAGGACCATAATTTTCAATTTAATCTTCATTTATGAGAAGTTTAAGTGAGCATGCAAACATTATGATGAAGAAATCACAAGGACTGTTCACAGATATTTTGGTTCTCTTCCTGGATATTGGTAGGATTGCTCTTCCTGGCCCACTTTGGAGTTGGTTGTGGCCATGTGCCTTGCTTTGGCAGGTGAAATGTGAGCACCAGTAATACATATCAGTTCTGGGCAGATGTTTTAAGTGCCCCTACACAGTTCTCCATGTTTCCTTACCTCTGCCACAGTTATCAAAGAAGCACACTAATGAGGAGTCTCCATCAGCCTGGATTCCTGAGTGATGATGAACAGAATCCCCTGCTAACCTGCACTGAATATGTGTAAAGTCACAAACTATGGATAAACCGAAGCAGCCAGTTAGCAGAAAGGGGAGAGGGGACAGACTTGCAGAGAGTATCTGAGATACCATGAGAGAATGATGAGAGAGAGCGGCCAATACCTAGAATTTCTTTGGTTCCAGGTGCTTTCCAGGTCCCATGGGTTCTAACACTAAAAACCCCACATTGCCCTATGGAGCTTGAACAGGACTCCTGATACTTGAACAACAACAAGCTAAATAAAACATGTATTTCCACTTAACAAGGTGTCCCCAAAATGCATATGCTAAATCAAAAGTTACAGGCATTTTAATATATAATGCCAAATGTCTCGCACTAGCAAGGAAGAGCGTGCCCCTTTCACAATACAGTAGTCTTCACAATACTGGGTGTGCACTTTATAAAACAAAACAAAGTGGGGGAAAAAGCTTTGCTAATAGGCAAAAAAAAAGTTAAATCTATTAATCAGCATTTCTTAATTAGTGAGGCTGACTGTTTTTCAAATGTTTTTAAGTCATTCCTTTTGTAATTAAAAAAATTAATTTATCTTGCCAATTCATTTATTAGAATCTTAAAGGTTTCTTATGGGTATATACGTGCTTTCCATACTGCAGTACTTATCACAAATATTTGCCCAGTTTGGTTTAGCTTTCAGATTTTTATTATGTTGGTGGTTTATGTCAATTTTTAACCTTTGTGTAGTCAAACATATATTTTCCTTTATCGAGTGACATATTGCCCAGTACTTTGTTAGCATCTCCTATGACTGTTTATTGTATAAAATTATTATTCTAACCATTTTTTTGTGCTTTGTAGATTGACATCTTTTATACATAACTATTAATATCATTTCCCATATTTTTCCTTTTAAAGATCAAACTGATTGATTCGCAAACCCCAACTCTTTTTTCGACTTTCTTTAATAAAATATGTAACTGTTCCACTGCATATACTAGCAATCATACCTCCTCTGCCCTCACACAAAGATGGTTCAAATTTTAATCTTATGTCATTTATTAAGCTGTTGAAAATGATTTTACTGACCACGAAAGAAATACACCTATCTTTACCCCTGAACTTCATATCTAACGTGTGTGTGTGTGTGTGTGTGTGTGTTTCTGAAATCCTTTGATATCTTCGATTTTACACTTTTATTTTGAACTTTAGGCTAATGGGCCTTCAGTTTTAATTCATTCTCAGCAATTGTTCCATTTTGTATAATATAACAGTTAAAAATAGTTTAAGGTTACTGTCAAATCAAACATTTGGAAACAACAGTAGACAGCATTCTGCTTCCTGAGGGCTGTTGTGACCTAATCCTAACATGACTTTTTGTCCAGATAGTTCACTATGGTTCACTCTCTTTCCTGTTGACCCTACAGTTGTTGCCAGGACACAAACCTGATCTAACTCTGCTGCTTAAGAAGCTTCCATGGCTCCCAGTCACCTACAGGTAAAATCAAAACTCCTTAAAACAGAAATCTTTTTTTTCACCATCTGGCCCCCCTAAATTTTTACCTTCATTTGCACACCTCTTAAAATTAGCACAGGAGCTGCAGCCACACAGAGGTGCTTGTCAGTATCAACAAATTATTTCCCACATCAGTGCTTTTGCACTTGTTGTCCAATTTAGAATATCCTGCACTTCTCTCCCCGCTTCCCAACCCCAATTCTTAGTATCCTTCAAATGCCAACTCAAACTTCACTTCTGCAGTGACAGCTCCAAGTTCAGACTGTCTGGCAGTCAGTCACCTCCTCCTCTAGGGACTAGACAGTCATATTCAAGTGGGGGAAAGAGACATAGAAAGAAATAATCAAACACATGGTCAAAAAGACCATGAACTCTTTAAGAACAAAGACCTCATCATTTACTCACCTCTGTGTCCCCTGCACCTACCAGTCAAATAAGTGTTGAATTGAATTTAACTGAATCATGCGGAATGAGTTTAATAATTGTATTTCACTTTTAAGAATATCAACTATGTGGATTTTCTAGTTATAGTTTCATAATTTGACCTTAAAAAATAAACTACAAAATGGTTGCTAAAATTTTACAAATGTTTGTATTATCAGTTAAATTTATTTATTGCATTTAAAAAAATTATGTAGTGTTGTTTTTTACTTTAATGGGGTCTGTATAATTCATAGAATCTATGTTAATGTCTCAGGGTAATTTGAAAGCATGTAAAGCATAGAAATAATATTGGAATGGATAGCTGAGATACAAATATTAAAGTATAGGAATGTGCCAAAAAGAAACTCCTGCCTGAAAAGAACACTTGTTTCTTGCAGAGGGCAAAACCCTGACACCTTTAATAAGGTATTGCAAAATCTGCTCACTCACCCACCCTACCCATGGAAGGCAAAGTCAATGTTCAGACTGATCTTAGTTTAGAAACTTTGGAACCATGTGTTTAAAGAATGAGAGAGGTTTGTCAAGACTTTCTGCCAAAGCACATCACAAGTTTAACATGTGCTTACTGCCTGCTCTTAAAACCTAGTTTCCATGAGCCAACCAGCTGCTGGCATTTGGGATACCTTCTAACTAGTTAAGTCTCAAACCCAGCCACATCTTCATTTCCCAAAGGAAGCTCCAGAAACTTTCTGCTGTCTCCTCTGTCTCTCATATGACTTGTTAACTCTGTTTTATAAAATTCCTCAATTTTAACCTTAGAGCCATGATATTAAATTTATAAACATGAAAATACAGATATTAAAATGTTGGTAATGAAGTTAATCACCTTCCTGATAAACCTGCTCATCCTGTATACTCTTATGATGCAACCATCTTTGCAAACATCCACCTGAAAAAAGTTAAAGTCATAACAATAACAGCTAACACTTATTGAGTGCTCTTAATGTCCTAGGTGCTATGCTTTTTTATCTCCTTTAATTCTCACAGGAGTGAGATGACTTGAACATATGTTCCTGACCCCCTGCCCCTTTCTTCCTTTCCTCCCCCTAATTCCTTACTGGAGCAGCAAACCCTTGTTGATAATGTGTGTTTCTGAGGATGTCCATAGGAGAGGGTATATACTGGACATATGAGGTCTGTAACTGTGGAAAGCCAACTCCCTTTGGGAAAAATAGTGCTGCACAAGTGGACGGAATCATTCTCCTTCCTAGTGTCTGAGTAAAGTGTTTCTCTCCCTTGTATTTGGACAGCCTGCGAATAAAGTATAGAATACTAGAGTAGTGGTTCTCAAAAGGTTGTCCCTGGACTTGTAGTAATGACATCATCCGGGAACTTATTAGCACTTGTTAGAAATGCAAATTCTCGGGCCTCACTACAGGCCTATGAGACCCAAGAACCTGTGTTTTGTTTGTTTGTTTGTTTGTTTTGCGGTACACGGGCCTCCCACTGCTGTGGCCTCTCCCGTTGCGGAGCACAGGCTCCGGATGCGCAGGCTCAGTGGCCATGGCTCACGGGCCCAGCCGCTCCGCGGCATGTGGGATCTTCCCGGACCGGGGCACGAACCCGTGTCCCCTGCATCGACAGGCAGACTCTCAACCACTGCGCCACCAGGGAAGCCCAGAGCTGTGTTTTAATAAGACCTCCAGGAGATTGTGATACATGTCTAAGTTTGAGAACAGGGCTATAAGAGCAAACGGCTTAATATCCCAGCTGACCTGTAAAGGTGCTGAGGAACTCCTATCCATTATAGGGCATAGGAAATCACAATGCATTTAATAAACTCAGTAATTTGAGGGAGATTTACCCAGACCAACCAGAGGGGGTGACTCCTCGAAGACAGAAGATAACTTTAATGTTAGTAGCAGTCCTGTTAGCTCCCTTAGTAGGAATCAAGGCTTAGAGAGGTTAAATAACTGTTCAAGGTCACACCACTAGTGAGAAACAGAACCAAGATTTGAACCCAGGTCCCCTCCTTACCTTCCATATATAAATTCCAATTCTGTCTATCTCAACTGTTTCTGTAGGATTCATACTTTTTTAAACTTTGTTTTAAATCGTGATATAACATGCATACAATATGGCTCTCTTCCCTCTGGTGGTAACTACTATCTTGGCTTGTTATAATTTTTTCTTTATTAAACGTCTTTCTTTATTAAACGTCCATAAGCATTCTTAAACAACATAGTTTGGTTTTTTTCCTGTCTTGAACTTCTTATAAAAAGAATCATACTGTTTATATCCTTATGTGTCCTGCTTATTTTGCTCAACAGCATGTTTGGGACATTCAGCCATGTTGTCTTATGTAGCCATAGTTTATTTTCATTGCTATATAGTGTTTCATTGGGTGAATAATATTTTATTCATCCTGGAATCCATCATTTCTTCATTCCCACTGTCACTCTACTTCAGACATTCATTAAATGATTCCTTATTATTTAAGTTATCCCAGTGGACCTTAACTATTCTTATTTCCAGGCTTTCCCCAACTGCTGCCAGAGGATTCTTCTAAAAGTCAGCATTGATCATGTACCTCCTGTTACAAGAAGCTGTAGGAGGGGAGGAAGAAGAAAGGCTGGGAGGCAGGCAGCAACACATTTTTGGTTTTTATTCTAAGGTCAATGCAAAGCCCTATCTGGCTAATAGTTTTGACTTTTTTTTTTTTTTTTTTGGCCACACGGTGTGGCATGTGGGATCTTAGTTCCCTGACAGGGTATTGAACCTGTGCCCCCTGCAGTGGAAGCACAGAGTCCTAATCACTGGACTGCCAGGGAATTCCCTAAATTTCTGTTGTTATATATATATAAAAGCAATGGAAATTTATTCCTCACATCTCTGAAGGCCACAAGCCCCAAATCAAGGTGTTTTCAGGGCCATGCTCCTTCTCTCTAAAGACTCTAGGGGATAATCCTTCCTTGTTTCTTCCAGCTTCTGGTGGCCCAGGTGTTCTTTGGCTTGTGGCAGCCTAACTCCAACCTCTGCCCCTGTCTTCACATGGCCTTTTCCTCTGTGTCTTTCTTCTCTTCTGTCTCTTATACGGACAGTGTCATTGGATTTAGTGCCTACCCTAATTGAGGATGATCTCATCTCAAGATCCTTAATTATATCTGCAAATATCCTTTTTTCCAAATAAGGTCACATTCACAGGTTCCAGGTGGACATATCTTTTTGGGAGACACTATTCAACCCACACAATGTCACATTTTTCTTTATCTAGTTACCTAATAATAGACACTTGAATTCTTTATTTGTTTCTTTCTTTCTTTTGGCTATTATGAATAAAACAGCTATGAATATTCCTATACAAGGCTTTTTGTGGATATGTTTTCAGCTTCACAGTTTTGAATTCCAATTCTAATTATCTTAATATAAGATGTGATTAATTTTAAGTGGTAATTACCCATAGTGACATTTTTAATTCTGGCAGGAACTTTTGTAAGAATTGATCAGCATCTATATACCTGATCTAAATATGTTGTATAAGTGAAAACATAATACTGCCAAGAGACAAGATATGGAATTCTAATAAGTATATTTATTTTTGTTTCTCAAGATACTATCAAGAAACAAACAAGTTTCAAATCAGGAAACATTGACTTTAACTCCTTAAAATAACAGAAATACCTGATTAAAGTTAACCCCTTAAAATAACAGCAATACTTGGTTAAAGTAAAAAACAAAAACAAAAACACAGCTTGACTCCATTCTGTCAGTTCTTTGTTTTGTTATGATACTTTGCATTCCCTTGCTTAAAGCCATCACCATGGCTAAATTTGATACATTTATCTCATTATGGGCCTGACTAACATGGACCATTCCACTGGAATGGATTTAAATGCAGTTCCTTAACAAACAAAGCCATCCATCTGGGATATTCTACCCTTAGATTCTGGTAGGTCCATCGTTAATAGAACTACTGGGATGTGGTTTGGAGGCTTTCTCCCGTGTGTCTGGCTTCTACTCTACAATGAAAGCGTCTTAGAGGAGAGGAACTCTGTCTTCTTCACTTGTGTATCCTCCAACTCCAGGCCCATCTCAGTGCTTTCTTAGCCTTATAAGTGTTTCCTGACTAAATAGTGCTTGTGAATAAAAAATAAGAAGGAAGATGCTGATAACTCTACTCTTCATAGTAGAGTAATTCCAATAATACAGAGCAGTTCTTGTTGATGAAATTTCTTAGAAATTGTTTTAATAAATGATTCCTTTTTAATCTATTGGAAAGCCTCCCAGATTATTACTTACACTGGTAGTTTCTTATTGACTATTTGCTTCATTTATTCAACAATACTAGGAACTGGTGACTGGCTACAGTATTCATTTATAAGAGCAATTTAAAACACTGCTCAGAAACAAACAAACAAACAAAAAACACTACTCAGGCCCTGATGAAACTTGACAAGTGTAACAGAGAAAAGTATAGAGTTCTCGTTATACTTTTTAGACAATTTAAAAACGGTCCTGTAAAATGGTTTGCAGTTTTAAAGATAGGAACGAACTTATGTAATGTGCTCTGTCATTACCACCCCAGTCTTTTGCAATGT